TACAAGACACCTCTCGCGCGTCTGCTGCGGCTGCTGCTACTGCTGCTGCTGCTGCTGTTTCTGCTGAGACAGTATATGCTGCTGAAACTGCTGCTGCTGCTGCTGCTGCTTCTGCCAAGACACCGGGTGCTGCTGAAAGCGCTGCTACTGCTGCTGCTGCTGCTGCTGCTGCTTCGGCTAGGACAGCAGATGATGCTGAAACTGCTGCTGCTGCTACTGCTGCTGCTGTTCTTGTTGTTGCTGCTGCTGCTGTTGCTGCTGCTGCTGTTAGGGTGTGTACTTTTCTCCTCTTCTCCCGTGGCTCTTCAAGCAGCAGCAGTCGGCGCCGGGGCGCTGCGCTGCAGCAGCTAATTTAGGGTTTAGGGTTTAGGGTTTAGGGTTTGGTGTAGAAAAGCCTATTAATGCAGCAATGAAAACAGTGAGTATGTGCACAGGCTGCTGCTGCTGCTGCTGCTGCTGCTGAAGGGCGCGAGCCAGCAGCAGCAGCCCCAGGCTCAACGCATGCAAGCTGTGGCTGCAGGACTAAAACAGCGTCTAAACCCTAAACCCTAAACCCTAAACACTAAACACTAAACCCTAAACTCATTTTAAATCCTTCTCCGTGGGCTCTCTCCCTCCGTCTTTGACAGAGAGGTATGGGCAAGCAGCGCATGCAGGCGAGGGTTTAGGGTTTAGGGTTTGCCTTTAGGATTTAGGGTTTAGGGTTTAGGGTTTAGAGTTGAAAAGGACACCCCAGAGCGCTGAATGAGCACCGCGACGCCGCCCGGAGGCCAGGAATACCCAGCAGCAGCAGCTGCAGCAGCAGCTGCAGCAGCAGCTGCAGCAGCAGCATATGCAGCAGCAGCAGCAAATGCAGCAGCAGCAAATGCAGCAGCAGCAAATGCAGCCGCAGCTTTCAACCCCTTGTTTGCTTCAGCCTAGGGATGCCACAGTCGCAGCAGCAGCAGCTGCAGCAGTAAAGGCAGCAACAGCAGCAGCGGCAACAGCAGCAGCAACAGCAGCAGCAGTGGCAGCCGGAGCAGTAGCAGTAGCAGCAATTGTAGCAGCATGAACTGCAGCAGCAACAACAATTTGAGCAGCAGCAACTGCAGCAGCAACAACAATTGTAGCAGCAGCCACTGCAGCAGCAACTACAGCAGCAGTAACCGCTGCAGCAGCAGCAGCAAAAGTCAGGGCGAAAAGGAGGCAGCCATTTCGGGGCTGAGGACCCCTTTTTAGGGTTTAGGGTTTAGGGTTTAGGGTTCCTTGTTGATATTTTGGCCTCTAGGGCCAAACGAATTTTGGGCCTAGGATCCGATCTTGAGGGTTTAGGGTTTAGGGTTTAGGGTTTAGAGGAGGCGCCAGCAGTGCAGCTGTAGGATTTAGAGTTCAAGATTCAAGGGTTTGCAGCTGCTGCTAGGGTTTGTTGCTTCTAGGGCCAGTTCCTAGGGTTCAGCGCCTAGGGTTTAGGGTTTGGGGTTTAGGGTTTAGGGTTTAGGGTTTAGGGTTTGCAGGAAAATGTTGTTTCGGGACGCGGCGCACTTCCGGCAATTCTTCCAAAACTGGAACGGCCGCTGCACTGACCACAAAACCCTAAACCTCCTTTGCAAGAAGTCCTACAGGGTTTACTTCTGCGACCCCGTCATGGTAGGGTTTAGGGTTTAGGGTTTAGGGTTTAGGGTTTAGGGTTTGGGGTTTGGGGCTTGCGGGTCTGGAGGAGGCTGCGTAGACGGGGGGGCGTCTTGGGGTTTGGGCTTGGGGGGGTTGGGATGCAGGCTGCGGGGGGATTTAGGGTTTAGGGTTTGGGGTTTAGGGTTCGGGGTTTAGGGTTTGGGGTTTAGGGTTTAGGAGGGTTTAGGGCTGGGGGGAGCGTCTGCTGGATGCGGCGGGAGGCTTCGGATTTCGGGTTTAGGGTTTAGGGTTTAGGGTTTTGGCTGCTGCACAGGGGTCCCGCGCGGAGAGCGCTAAACCCGAAACCCTAGTAAACCCTAAACCCTAAACCCTAAACCCTAAACCCTTGTTTGTGTTCAGTACAACTATTTGTTCCTGGCGACTCTCTCCAGCGGAATTGCAATTTGCTGGTCTATGCGCTACTTGCTTTACAACCCAGACGTCCAGTAAGCCCTAAACCCTAAACCCTAAACCCTAATTTGCAGCCCCAAACCCTAAACCCCAGCTGGAGACGCGGCGCCCAGACTCGAGGCCGCGGCTAGTTCAGCTCTGACCAGCGCAGAACTAGACCAAACCCTAGACCCTAATCCCTAAACCCTAAACCCTAATTTGGCGTATTTGCAGCTTTCGCCGCGGCGACGGCCGCAAGCTGATGGCCGACAGATGGCAAAAGAGCCTCTACTCCCTTCCTTACTTCAACAGCGCACTCAGGTGCTGCTGCTGTTGCTGCTGCTGCTGCTGCTGCTGCTGCTGTGCTGCTGCTGCAGCTGCATCTGCCAGAGTTGCTCTATCTGCTGCTGCTCGCCTGCTGCCGCATCCGCTGCTGTGCTGCCGGACTCGCTGGGGCTGCTGCTCCTATTGCTGCTCCTGTTGCTGCTGCTGCTGCTGCTCCTATTGCTGCTGCTCCTGCTGCTGCTATTGCTGCTGCTGCTACTGCTGCTGCTGTGAGCGCCGTGGCCCACTGCGCCCTGCTGGCGAGCTGCCGTCGCCGCCGCCACCGCCGCCGCGG